TCAGCAAGAGAGCCCGGGCGGGAAATTTGTACAATTTTTGTGAAAAAGCATTGGGTTTTTGATGTTTTTATGTTGAAATGCTTGCAAACACACGGTGTTCGGTAGGATTCTGACATGAACGCGCGCGTGTGCTCTTTGTGGTATTTTTTGCAATGGATTATCGCCGTGGACGACAGGACGTCCATGTCGAGAGGAAAAAATAAGAAAAATGTTGATTTTGTATTGTTTTTTACAGGTTAGGATGGGACCACCCGGATGCGCCCGCTATCTGCCGGCCTGAGGGGGGAGTAGGAGTATATTCTAATAAGGAATAAGGATAGGAGGAGGAGGAGGAGGAGGAGGAGGAGGAGGAGGAGGAGAGGGTAAGAGTGGGGAGGGAGGGAGGGACCCCTGTCGCCGGCAGTGCCGAGCAGAGGATCAGCAGGGGTTGGCCACTCGAGGCGGCGGCCCTCGCCGTCCCTCGCACGCACTCCTGCCGCTGCGGCGGTACTGCTCCTCCACCCTCCTTGTCCCAAGGGCGCCTCCCTTCGCGCTCTCGCGCGGCGCGGAGCGCGAACAGCTTCGCGCTCTCGCGCTAAACCCCCAGGGGAGAAGAGGAGGATGAGGAACAACTGGAGCCGAACCGCGAAGCGCGAATCACTTCGCCTCCTCGAGGGCGCCCTTGTGTCCCCTCTGCATCTTCCGCCTCCGCCCTATCATTCATGCTGCCTCTTGGAGCAGGACCCAGGATGCCCCAGCATACTCCGAACAGCGCCTCGAGGAAGCCGCAGGGAGAGGTCCCGTCACCGAGGAGATTGCCGCCACGACCGCCTGACGTCCTGATCTCTCTCCCTCCCCCTCTTGCCTCCGTGCCCCTCCTGGGCATCACATCGCTCTTCGTCGTTTTCTGCACCGAGCTCTGCGCGGGCAACCCCTGCAACCCAAACGTCCGACGTCGTGTTCTCACAACGCAACTCCCCAGAGGTCTAGCCCCGTTTCCCGGGACTGACTTTTCATCCTGGATCATTCGGGACCCTCCTGTGTGGGGTCCTCGTTTCAAACAAATGCTGTGTTATCCACTCCTTCTCCTTTGCCTCCCCCCTCCTCCTGCCTTCTCCTGCGCTGCTCCCTGGGAGGCAGCGACTTGCGCAACTGTCGCTGCTCGAAATGTGAAACCGCCGCGACGCCACTTTTGAGGCTGCTGGGGGGTCCAGCACAGTGACGTCCTACGCACATCAGAACGAGACCTCGCCGTCCTTGGGGGCTGCGAACTGCGGCACTGTTCCCACTTTCGAGGGCTGCTGGGGGGTGCAGCATAGTGGCGTCCTACGACGAACATCATAACGATACCTCGCCGTCCCTGGGGGCTGCCAACTGCGCAACCGTCGCCACTTTCGAGTACTGCTGGGGGGTCAAACATAGCGGCGTCCTATGCGCGTCAGAATGAGACCTTCACCCCGCTCCCACGGACTGATTTTCATAGAGAATCATTCCCAACCCTCCTGTCTTGGGTTCTCGCTTTGAAAAGAGCACTAATTATGATATCCAGTCGTTTTCATTACCATCCCCCTTTCTCCTGCCTTCTCCTCCGCTGCTCCCTGGGACGCTGCGAACTGCGCAACGGTCGCCGCTCAAAGTGTGAAACTGTCGCCACTTCGTGGGCTCCTGGGGGGTCCAGCATCGCGACGTCCTGCGCACATCGGAATGAAACCTCGCCGTCCCTAGGGGCTGCCGAACTGTGGCACCGTTGCCACCTTCGAGGGCTGTTGAGGGTTCCAGTGCAGTGACATCCTGCGCACATCAGAATGAAACCTCGCCGCCCCTGGGGGCTGCAAACTGCAAAGCTATCGCTTCGTTCGAGGCTGCTGGGGGTCCAACGTAATGACGTCCTAAGCACATCAGAATGGGACCGCCGTCCCTGGGGGCTGCGAACGGCGAAACTGTCGCCACTTTCGAGGGCTGCTGGGGGTCCCAACATAATGATGTCCTATGCACATCGGGATGAGACCTCACCGTCCCGGGGGGCTGCGAACTGCGAAACCGTCGCCACATTTGAGCGATGCTGGAGAGTCAAGCATAGTGACGTCCTACGCACATCAGCATGAGACCTCGCCGACGCTGGCGACATTGTCGCCACTTCGAGGGCTGCTGGAGGTCAAGTATAATGATGTCCTACACGAAACAGCATGAGACCTCGCGGCATTATCGCCACTTTCGAGGGTTGCTGGGGTTCAACACAGCATAGTGACGTCCTGTGCACATCAGAACGATACCTCGCGGCCCCTGGGGGCTGCGGACTGCGACATTGTCGCCACCTTTGAGGGCTGCTGGGGGTCCAGCCAAGTGACGTCCTAAGCACATCAGAATGAGACCTCGCCGTCCCTGGGGGCTGCGAACTGCGAAACCGTCGCCACTTTCGAGGGCTGCTGGGGGGTCAAACATAGTGGCGTCCTATGCACATCAGAAGGAGACCTCGCCGTCCCCAAGGGCTGGCGAACTGCGAAACTGTCGCCACTTTCGAAGGCTGCTAGGGGTCCAGCCCAGTGACGTCCTGCGCGCATCAGAATCAGACCTCGCCGTCCCTGGGGGCTGCGAACTGTGAAAACTGCTGCCATTGTTGTCACTTCCGAGGGCTGCTGGGGGTCCAACATAATAACGTCCTGCGCAAATCAGAACGAGACCTCGCCCTCCCTGGCGGCTGCGATCTGCGAGCTGTCGCCATTTCCGAGGGCAACTGGGGGGTCCAGTATAGTGACGTCCATTAGGGGCTTTTGGTTAATTTTGCAGCCGCGCCATTCTGGCTACAATTTTAAGTGCCTCTGTCGCTGCCGCACCCCTGTTTACATTCTTGGGCCTGGGGACCCACGAACTGCACAGATGCGAGCTTCTGGGACGCATGTGACTGTTGTCCGTCGTTCTTTGGAGGACCGTTTAAAGGCACTGTGGATCTTCCAAATGATACTCTGTAATGGGCGGTCTGGAGCATCGTCGCCCCGTGTGTACAGAAGGTCGGGGACGTCCCTGCGTATTTTTTGAACGCTTCGGTGCCCGGTGAGGCCCCGGGCCGAAAATGGGAAACAGCCTCCCGTCGTGATCTCTTCGTGACGCGAGGATGTCAGAATTTATCCAGATCTCATTCGCCCTGTCCAGGTGTTTTCCCAACCATCCTGTGGTGTTGGGTCCTCGTTCTGAAAAGGCAGCGCCCTGCGTCCTCCTCTCCACTCCTCCTCCCCTCCTCCCATCACCCCTTGCACATTTCGCGGCCCGATGGGGGGCTCCACCGAAGGCCCCAATGGCACTGTTCGCATGCGGCTCCACACCCATCTCGACACACCCCTCACACGTTGCGTGGCCCCATGGGAGCTCCACCCATTACGGCAATGGCAGGGGTCGCTTGCGGTTCCACCCCCATCTCGGCACAGCCCTCACGCGTGTCGTGGCCCCATAGGGAGCTCCAACTTCGGCCGCAATGACAGGGTTCACATGCGGTTCCACCTCTCACTTCGGCTCGCCTCTCACACGTTGCATGCCCCATGGGGAGCTCCGCCGAAGGCGGCAGTGGGTGGCAGAGTTCGCATGCGGTTCGACCCCCAATTTCGGCACAGCCCTCACACGTTTCGCAGCCCCATAAGGGGGCTCCATCGAAGGCCCCAGTGGCAGGGTTAGAAAGCGGTTCCACACCCATTTCGGCACACCCCTCACACGTGTCGTTCCCCATAGGGAGCTCCATCTAAGGCCCCAGTGGCAGGGTTGACATGCGGGTCCACCGCCATTTCTGCACATCCCTCACTCGTTGCGTAGCCCCATAGCGAGCTCCACCCACGGCCGCAGTGGCAGAGTTCGCGTGCAATTCCACCTCCATTTCGGCGCACCCCTCTCACTCGTTTCGTGGCCCCATAGGGGGCTCCACCGAAGGCCGCAATGGCAGGGGTCGCATCCGGTTCCACACCGCGTTTCCGCACACACCTCACGCGTGTCGCCCAGCCCCCCTCTCATATGGAGCTCCACCGAAGGCCGCAGCGGCAGGGGTCGCATGCGGTTCCACCGTTCATCTCGGCACGCCACTCACGTGCTTCGTGGCCCAGTATGGAGCTCCACCGAAGGCCCCAGTGGCAGAGTTCGCATGCGGCTCCCCGCAATTTCCGGCACACCTCTCACACGTTTCGTGGCCCCATAGGGAGCTTCGTCGAAGACGATAGTCACTGCATATGGTTGGGTCCGTCGCCAGGATAATATTTCCCCCGAACCCTCCGTTGGCTGGTTCTCGTTTTGAATAGAGCACTGTGGTGTCCACTCCTTCCTTCCTTCCTTCCTCATTCCTCCCCCTCCTTCTCCTGCTCATTCTCATCATCTTCTTCTTCCTCCTCCTCCTTCTCCTCATCCTCTTCCTCCCCTGTCATCATCATCCTCATGTTTTCTTTTGGAATAAGGCGGTCCTGATTAGACGCGCCATATGTGTCGAAAGGAATGGATATGTCCTCGTTTTTCTTATTCGTGTTTGTGTGAGGGCCAGCGGAACCGCGCAGGCCTCCCGAATAAACCACTCCACCGCCAGCGCGGACCCGAGCGCGCCCAGGTCGTTGAGGGACTTGGAGGCGAACGTCATGAATACGAACAGCAACACGTACAGCTCGGTGCCGTAGTCCACGAGGATGTTGTGCACGTACCTGGAGGAATGAAGCACGGCATGAACAGAAACTTTCGGAGGTCCGCGCGGATGTCTTGCATCTGCGCCGACGCCCCCCCGCTCCCCGGCGCGAAGAGCGCGCCAGGGGCGACGCCCGAGGCGCCGCCAGGAGGGCTCTCAGCGCCGATCCGAGGAATCCGCGCGGAACTCCGACAGTTTGCGTTCATGCCCTTCTTTCTCCTTCGGGCACCAGGCCACCGTGGCGAAGTAGAGGGCGACGGACTGCATGATGGAGGCCCTGCCGCACAGGCTGCGCAGGTCGCGAGTGCGCATGAGCCCCACGCTGCCGGAGGAGATCTTCCAGAAGAAGCCAGAGCCGGCGCAGAACTGCACCTCACGCCCCTTCTCCCACTCCAAGATGTCCGTATGGAGCGACCGCTCGTCGCGAGCGTTGACATTGAGGCCGGCGAAGATGTCCTCGGACAGGTTGATGTGCGGCGAGGCCTTTGACACGGAGCCGCGGTTCGAGGCCCAGAAGCAGTCCATGAAGTCCGGGTGGCCGTAGTGCATGCGCACGTTGAGGAAGCCCAGCAGCCGCTGCACCAGGGTGCCGAACGTCCACTCGGAGTCGGCCATGATGGTGCCCACCAGCCCGTGCGACCTCGTGAAGATGTGCTCTCGGAAGCCGATGATCCTGGCTCTCAGGGCCAGCCGGTGCTCGGAGCCGCTTCCCGTGGGCTTCGGGTAGAAGCCCTGGAGAACCACGGGCACCTGTGGAGGAGCAAAGCACGGGAAACATCAGAAACTTTCGGAGGTCCGCCCGGATGTCTGGGAGCTTGAAACGGTATGTTTTTGTTCGGGTGTCTTGGATCCGTGCTTAGGGGGCCACATGCGAACCCTACCCCTACCCCCCACGATTTTTGAGGGGGAGGGTGGGGTTCACTTCGCTCGAGAGCTCCCGAGCGAAGTGAACCCCACCCTCCCCCTCCAAAATCGTGGGGTCAGGGGTAGGGTTCGCATGTGGCCCCCTAGTGCTGGGCCCCCTCCCCTGGCGCGCGGAGCGCGCCGGGGGCCCAGCTCGTCGGGCCGAGAGGTCCGCGCGAGGGCTCCTGAGCGTGTGTGCTCGTCTGTTGTCGCTCCTCCTCGAGCCTTGAACGACTCGCCCGAGTAGCAGCCCATGTTGGCGTCCATCATCTGCAAGAAGTGGCCCTCGGCGAAGCGCAGCGCGCCCAGCTGGTTCCCCGACTTGCCCTGCGTGAGGTTGCCCTCGGAGCCGATCAGCAGCCCGCGGGCCCTCGGGAGCACGTGGACCACCTCGACCGGCCAGTCGTCCTGCTGGCGCTCGTCCCTTCCGCCGACGCGGAAGTAGCGGTACTTGATCAGGACGCTGGCGTACTTGAACATCACGCCCTCGTCCTTGCGAGGGGGAGCGTCATCGCCAACAGATCGGCGACAGGCCCCCGATAGCGAAACCGCACGTTCCTGGGCGGGGTGGGCTATCGGGACCCTCTCTGCGATCAGTCGGCGATTGGGGGTGGCTGATGCGCTCTCTTGAGCCCTTCCACACCAAGGTTTGTCCCCGATCCTTGCTGCTGCCCCGTACGTGCTGGTCAATCAACTCCTCGAGGCGCGGATGTGTCTTCCCGCGCTGGAAATCGATAGCCACGAAGAACGGGTAGCCTTTATGCTTGCTCAGCATGTAATGCAGATCCTGGTCGCGCTTGTTCGCCTCCACCTTCTCACACATCACCTGTCCGCCGTTCGCAGAGCAACCCACCAACGTCACCCTTTGGTCCTCCAGGACGCTACCGACCGTGTAGAAAGCCCCGCTGACGAAGTCCTTGAAATCGGCCTCGGCGCCACCGGCCGGGCCCGTGCGACTCACGGCGCCAACCCCGCCCAGCCTCACCTCGCCCTCCGCGACCTGGTGCAAGCCCCCGGCGGCCTCGATGGCCGCGATGAGCGTGTACTTCAGCGTGCTGCTTGATCCGAGCTGCCCCTCCAGGTGCGCGACAATGGTGGATGGCGGCGGCGTGATCGTGCACTCCACGCTGATGGCCGGCTCGAAATCCGCTGGCGCCCCTGTGGGGCCTCCAGGCTGCGAGCGATCGCGCTGCACTGGCTTCGCTGCTGCTGTGGTGATGTGAAAGGTTGAATGCAGTAGTCGTCTTCGCCCCCCCTGCGGAAGAACCCCCGTAGAACTTACGATGGACCCACGCTCCCATGGCTGCGACCCTCTGCACGTGACGCCAGATGTGTGCCACCCCAAGAGACGACCCCTCTAAAATGACGCTGGGCCTGCACTCCGAAAACCGCGATCCCTGGTGAGTGTCTGAGGGTCCGCGCTCGCAGGGCTGCGATCTCTCGTGAAATACGCTGCATCTGCGATCCCAAGGGGAGGATCCCAAGTACATGTTTAGTGATCCGCGCTCCCAGGGCAACTGCAGTCGCCGTACTGCCAGGAAGCCGCCAACTAAAGAAACGAAGGGGCTTTTCTGGCGACGGCGAGCCTCGGCCACGAATAGGCTTCCCGACCTGAACCTAATCAACGGCCCCAGATCCATAGCCCCTCCTGAGCCCAAAGTGGTCCTCACTTCGGCGTCTTGACTGCATGCTGCGCACACTGCGCTGAACCCACGCCAAGGTCGGGCTAACGGCGATGTTGCTCAACGGTGATGTTGAAGACCCAATTGTGGGAAGTCGCGAACCACGGTCTCCTACATTTCCGACCTGCGAATGCGTCGAGCGAACACGACACAGCGAATCGCAGGAACGCGCGGGCCACAGGTTCCCGCACCACCGAAACCCTGGCATCCCCGTGAGCCCGTCTGCGGCCGCGCGCGCCTCCACAGCAGCACGTCGCAGACGGCACCACCAGCCCGCGCTCACGGGGGCCGCGTCCCCCTTCGGGAGCTGCGCTGGGCTCCGTGCGCGCCGGGCCACGCTGCCCCGTGAGCCACGCCGGCTCTGCGCCCGCGGGGCCACGAGGCAACTTCCGCCGGGGCCGCGCCCCGAGGGCCGCGACCTCGCGCACACCTCGCTGGATCGGGGCCCCCCAGGGCCGCGATCCCTGCCAAGTTGCAGTGGGTCCGATGTCCCACGGCGGCGGTCCCTTACGGTCCAAAACCCTAAGAAGGACGCGCGGTGAGGACGCGAGACCCTTGGAAGCCGAAGTTGGAATTTTTGTGGGGCGGCGGACGACGAAAACCTCAAGGACGCAAGGGCAAGGAAGAGCAAGGACGCAAGGGTACCCTGAGCAAAGTCGCGCGTCCTTATCAGGGTTTTTGACTGTATACCTGACCCTGGGTCTGCGCTCCCAAGGGCCACGACCAACCTTCGCAAAGCCATGATCCTGCATAGGCTACGCTGGATTCGCGAACCCCTGGAGAAGACGATCGGTAAATGACCAGAGATCCGCCCTCCAACAGCTACGACCGTTTGTAGACAGCGCTCGCTGCGCGCTCCCACGAGGACGACCCCGCATCACCTGCGCAGGATCCACACTCCGAGGGCCGCAGTCCTTTTTAAACTATGGAGCGTCCGCGCTCCCAAGGCTGGTGGACTAATTACACAGCCTTTAGTTCTGCAGAAGAGGTGCGGTCCCCTGTGCCTTGCGTCGGATCCGCGCTCGCGTGGCCTCGACCCGAGCAAGTGGAGCTGGATCCGTGCTCCTACAGCCACGATCCCCCGTCCGCGCCCGCAGGGCCACGACCACAAGGGCACTGGGCTGCATCCGCGCTCTCGGGGCCAAGGCCCGTGCTGAAGCTTGACACGGGGCCACGCTCCCAGCACCACGAAATCCCCTGTGCATCGCACTGGAGCCGCGCTCCCGGGGTCACGCGCCCCCGCCACTCCGGGTCCGCGCCCCGAGGATCCACGACCCCCTCCCCGCAGGAAGAGTCAGGTCGAGCGTGTCCTCCTACAGATAGATTTTGATGCAGAAGTAGCCAAAGCATGCAACACATGTTCAAGCATATTCGCAATAACCCTAAACATCGTCCCCAGACTATTCTTTGACCACTTTTGGATATCCGTCCTGTACAAGGACCCGCAGGACTCAAAATGGAAGAGGGGCCGGGCCTGCGCCTCTCCGTCCCTCCCCTTCAGGAGGGAGGGAGGGAGGACGACAGTGACGTCGCCGAGGGAGTCCTCCATGCCGGACCCAGACCCCCGACGTCACCATTTCTTCGTCACGTCGATCGCCAGAAGTCTCTACCCATTCCCCATGACCGGTTTTTCGTCCCGAGTCGTTTTTTGACAGCCCCGAGGTCTGGTAAGGGCCCCGAGGGGCCCTAAAAACGGCCAAAAGCCTCACGTCCTGACTTTTTCGAGACGCGAGCCTCTCTGTTCCCAAGGAGGCCGAAAACAGCGAAACAGCTCCCGCCGTGTTTTTTCACGACTCGAGGGGGTCTGGTAGAGGCCTCCTAGATGGGGTCGGAGTAGATGGGGTCGGAGGACCGCGCCGCATCGCAGATGCATCGGCGATGCATCAGCGATGTATCAGCAATGCACCGGGGATGCATCGTCGACGTCCGCGATGCATCGGCGACGCCGACGTGAAGCAAATCGGGCTCCACATCGAGCCGCATCGGCGATGCATCGGCGATGTGGCGCGATCCTCCGACCCCATCTACTCCGACCCTACCTGGGAGGCCCAGACCTGGAGAGTCTCAATGGGGGGCCTGCTGCAGCGGCCGCAGGCCTTCTGATCCTCCTGGGTCCAGCCGAGGATGCCGAGCAGGTCCCCGCCCGCGCTGCCGGCGCCCTCCACCGCCGACGTCGTCAGCGTCACGTCCTCGAGTTAGGTCGGGCATGGCCTCCTACATGCGGATTTTGGACGAAAAATGAAAAATAGTCCACAAATGCTCAAACATAGTCAAACAACGTTATAGAAAAATCGTTCCCAGACTATCTGTAAATGCTTCTCCTATAGCGAGACATGCCCGACTTCGTCCTCGAGCCCGACCGCGCCGGCGCTCTCGTCCACCACCGCCTCCTTGACCGCGGCCTCGAGCGACTTGAGGGCGGCCTCTTGGCGGCGAGCCCGGGGGGAAAAGAGAAGGGGCGGGCCTTCTTGAAGGGGCCCTGAGACACACACAAATAAATACACACAGATAAAAGGATTCCCCATATTTTCTTATATTTTCTAGGTTTTTGTCTCCCCCCCCCACTTCCCATATTTTCCCATATTTCCTTGGGAATCGACGATTAATTGTGTCTGTGCGTTTTTTCCCCTCCTGACTCCTGAGAGGCCTCCCGAGCTCCCCCGGAGGCACAGGCACGTTCTCAGAGGGCCGGAGGGCTCCCGAGGAGCCCCGCCGCCCTCCGAGAGGGCCTCCTCCTTCTCGCCTCCCCCCCCCCTCGCTCGCCGCCGAGCCTTGTCTGCGACGAGCTTGGCGTGGTCCACGTTGACGATGGTGAGCGAGAACACCAGGCAGTTGGGGCGCTCCCTGCTGCCAGCCATCGCTCTCCCCAGCAGGGTCGGCAGGGCCTCCGCGCCGTCGTCTCCGGGCGCCGGCGCCTCTCGGGTGGGGCACCGACTGCAAGATTGATGGATCCCAGACTTAGTATTCTGGTCGAATCCACGAAAGGTGCGTAGGAGATTCGTCGGTCTACGACCACTCCACGCATCTGTGCGTAGATTCGAGCAGCAAATCAACTCTGGTGCAAATCAATTCTGTAGTCGATTCCCTACTCGAACCTTCGGCCTCAAGTTGTCCTTGAACTTGTCGACCGCCTTCTTGAAGACGAGGCCCCCCGTGAGATCCATGGTCGAGCGCGCCTGCAGAGACAGGCGCACCGTGTCGCCGGCCTTCAGCCCGTGCGCCCCCTTGAAGGTGAGCATGCCGCTGCGGAGCGTGGCCTTGCTGGCCTTGGACATGCTCACCTTGCCGTACGTCTGGTGCGCGAGGATGAGCTGCACGCGGCGCCGCACGTCCTCGAAGCCGACGCCCTCGCCGCGGTTCAGCAGCAGGTGCAGGGCCTTGTGGTAGTGCACCGCGCCGTTCACGGTGCGGATCACGGACTGGGCGCGGTGCGACGCCCACTCGCGCACCTGGTCCTGCTGCTGCGGCGTGCACCGCCCGCCGGCCAGCCTGTCGTACAGCTCGGTCGGGTGCAGCCGGACGGTCTCGGCGAAGATCTTCCACTCGTCCGGGAACTGCGAGACCAGGAACTCGAGCGTGGTGGCGACGGAGCCGCCCGCAGGCTTGCCCAAGAGCTCCTTGATGCTCATGATCCCGTCCTCGCTGTACACCGGGATTATCTGCGTCAGCGAAGGAATGCGGCCTGGGTGCGTGACCCCCAGTGCGTCGCAGTGAACATCTCTGTCATTGCCGCAGTACGGCGCGAAACTGATCCGTCTGTTAGACAGGATCTCGCGGTGGCTCGCGAACAAGTACCCGATGCGCTGCATGGCTTGTGGCAAAATGCGTAACGATTCAGAATCTTTCAGTTCCGCCATGCCACCGCTGCTTGCGGCGGCCAGCAGCTTGTCGCGCACTGGCTGGTTTATCAAGCAATCGTCGAAGAGCCCCTCGACCATCACTGCCCACACCTTCTTCCAATCCTTGCCGTAGATGGCGTGCAGGACAGTGCCGTGCGACACCCACCCAGCCTCAGACTTTCGCTGCCTCCGAGGAATGCCAACAAAAAGTCACCTCAAAAGGGGTCGCCACATCCTCAAGGAAACGGGTCCCCGCGAAGCCCTCAGAGCCCCACAGGAATCCCAAAGACGCTTACACGCGTCCGAGGCCTCTCGATCCTCGTCATCTCTACTCTTCGATCTTCGACTTCCAGGCAGAGGTGGTGACCCCGCCAGTGGTGACCCCCCTTGGCACTGCCCGATGCCTATCGAACTCCGATGACAAAGAGTACACGGAGAAGTCCAGGGAAGAGATGTTAGTCTCGACGAGCCCGCGGGACACGCCGAGGGAGGATCCCATGAAGGCCACGCAACAGTTGAAGATGAAGTATGGGATCAGGAAGCTGCCGATGGCCGCAAGCAGCCAAGAGGAAACCACGCTGGTCATGCACGCGACGCACTGCGTGTCCTGGGAGGGCAGCAACCGTATGCCGTGTGCGCCGGTCCTGGGCAGGTCGATCCTGGACCCAAGATTTAAGTCGGGCCTGTCCCCCTACAGGGGGATGTTCGACGAAAAATAAAAAAAACCCAAACAATAATCAACAAATAGTCCAAACATAGTCTGGGGACTATTTTTGAATATTTTCTACCTTTTTAGGATTTTTTTTTGTTTAATTTTTTTGTTCGAAAATTCTGGTGTAGGGGGACACGCCCGACATAACCCAAGATCGGTGCAGGTGCACGGTCGGTGTCCCGCCGGGAGTCCTTCCACATGATGGATGGAAGCCCACTGCCCAGAATCAGCTGCCTGTCCTCGCAGAAGTCGTCGTCGTTGTCGCCGAGCTGGCACATGCCCTTCGGGGTGAGGGACCTGGCCATCCCCGTGAGCACCCCGTAATAGGACACGAAACAGATGAGCCCGAAGACGACCCAGAAGAAACCGATCCGCTTGTGATGCCCCTTCTGATCTGCCGAGTCGTTGAACCTCAGACGCTCTCCCAGACCATGTTTGGGCAGCAGCCCGAATGCAAACCGCAGCAGCAGGTATGCGTACGGCACGAACCAGAAGTCGGTCCTGGCACTCTGGGAGCTCATTCCGAGCACGTCCTCGAGCCCAGCCAGATCGTCCAGTGCCTGCAGATCACCCTCGACCCAGAAGACCACCAAGGTTATAGGCACCAAGACGATGAGCCTGCAAAAACTCCCGACGCGTTGGAAACCGAGGACGGAATGTTTGATGTTGGCGGAACTGACGGGGGTGCTCACGAATAACCAACAACAATTCACGACGCACTGAAACGCCAAGTCCACCAACAAGACCACGAACCCAGAAAAGCGCCGGTCGCCAGTCACGGCCACTCTGCCAGAGAAGTCGGAGTCCACGTCGCGCAAGTACAGGGCAATAGCGAACAACCACAACACCATGGACAAGGGCCACTGATCCGCCACCGTGCCTCCGGCATGCTGGGCGAGTACGCTCGAGTACCTCTTCGTTGCGTGGTAATGTTTCTGCAATTTTCCGGGGGCGAACCCTCTGCTGCGACCAGGGTCTGAAAGTCGCCACCTGGTCTTGTTCCATGGTGTTGCTCTCGGTCTCTAGTCGGATCCAAGGCGGCCAACGACAGTTTTCAAAACACTTACCATCCAAAGACGGTCCCACTAGCATCCAGAGACTTCAAGACCTCCCCAAGCTGCTCCAATAATGCTCAGAGCGACACTCAAAGAGGCCCCCCAGCGAGGCCCTGAGAGACACAAGGCACTGGAAAGCTCTCAATACATCCATGAGAGTCCTGCTTCCACGGCTTCTCGGTTTCAGATTGCCTCGGGAAATGCTCAGTGAGCTCCACGAAGTCCACCAAACTGCCCAAGACGGCCCCAAGACTGGCCCAGAAAATCCCAAGGTGGTTCAAACGAACGTTGTCGGGAGAACTCTGTGGAACCATCGTGCCCCAAACGGCCACGAGACTCATGGGTCCCCAGCCGGCCCCTAATAACTCCCTGAAGCACCCCTCCAAGACGCTTCCAGTAAGCTTTTAACAGAGAAGAGGGGGAGGAGGAGGAGGAGGAGGAGGAGGAGGA